TCCTTGTCGACTTTAGTAATGTTTTGACAGTTTTTGCCTCAGTGCCTCTGAATTACAAGTGTGCAGAGATGTATTGCTTGCTGCTACGATAGGTCTCTCCCTCAGGATATGGGAGGTCACGTTTTCTGAATCTGAATTGCTTAACTAAACAATGACAACTTCTGTAATGCTTTAAAAGAAGGCTACAATCAGTTATCATAGTTGTAATTGCAATTTTTTTTTCACAAGGAGAGATATTAAAAGAATGACATTTTTGAATTTCATACATTATTTAGCTTTTCTGAAATGGCACTTTTGGTGTTCTTAAAATATAGAGGATTTATATAGCTATGTGATTAATTCTAAGATGGTAGAAAACTGCTGTTGATTCTTTCTTTACAAACAGAGATGCAAAAATAATTCAGATTTAAAATCAGGCTGTCTTTATCTTCTCATTAGTGAATATATTATATGCATGAAACACATGCAGCAACTGTCTTATACCATTTACTTGTTTAAGTTTGTCCTATCAGCTAACCTTGTTTAGTATGGGCATTTTTCATAAATAAGATGGCTTTTTTTGTCCTTCACTATGTGGCTGTTGTTCTTCTATAGTTGAATAAAAGGGTCTGTGTTGCTCTGTTTGATCTTTTCTATGAATTTCTTATTTTCTTGAGTTCACAGAAAGCAAACCAGATAAATATAGGAAGGCAATTTCTATGAATGACGGATGACATTACTATGAAGTGTCTAGATTTTCTAATGTTTGTCTGTTTTCCCCTTTTAGAGATGCAATAAAGTAGAGCTGAAATGCATCTTACACGTTGAGGTCAGTTCTGCGATGAGAGTTGAATATTATTTCATGTTTGAAACATTCCTTTGCTATATTACTACATTACAGAAGAGAAAGTAAGGGAAGCTTTATTAAACATTGTGACCTCCTGAAATGGAGATTTGGCAAATTTAACTATGGCATTTCCAAGTACAGAAGTTTTGAGGAATACGTCTTTTGTGGAAAATAGTGAATCTTGTGATTCATAGCATATTTCTCTAGATGGGGTTATGTTTGAGTGAAGTGTGTTATATGGTGCATCATCATTTAATTACTTGTGGGAAGGTTTGGAAGCAATGATCTTGAGCACTGCTGCATTTTGTTCTCATCTGCTGATAGACCTCTGAAAGGGATGTTGTGGCTGCTGCAAAAAGGAGGACAGCTGTGATGATGAGGATGGTGTCACTTAAGTCCACTGTGTTGTCTTACTCCCTTGTGGAAGCTGAATGTAGCATGAACTCCTTGTGTTCTTTGTTAAAATCTATTCTATAAATTTCAGAATAGGTCTAATCATCCATATTATAGACCATAATCCCCATTACTGCCCATTATAAATGTGTAGTTATCTGTTCAATAGTACATTATTGTCCCCTTGGATCCATTATCATTTAATATATTAAGACCTTAAAGTTTTAATATATGGATCATCACCCTTCAAAGCTCAGCGACAGTCTAATAAGTAGTTGCAAATAACTCAGGCTTTAAAATAAGAGCTTTTCTTTTCAAAATGACATTTTTCTAGATTGGGACATCCCTTACACCTGCCTCTTCAACCTCACTTCACTCAGCAAAGACTGATGTGCAATTAAAGCAAGTCTTTTAAGATCTCAAGAACAGTAATGAATTTTCAAAATGGAGCAAGGTTTAGGCTGACTTTCTCATGTCCACACAAAGAAGGACAATAGAGAAGAACATTTTCTACAATTTGTATGTGTCTAAAATTACTCTGTTCTTTTTAGAGCCCTGTAAGTATCACTCTTGCTGAAGCCATACAGGACCTCCTACAACCCACAGCTTTTCTCTGTTTTCCATTGCACTGTGTGCCTGAGGCAGGTCAGTGTCTGGACAGTACAGAAGAAAAATAAATAATGTGGTTCTTGAGCTCTCTATCAGACTTCTCCCACTCAGCTTTTCTGCCTTTCATTTTAAGCTATAGAGAACTTACAAAATGTTCAACATAGAGAGCTTACAAAGAAAATTCTGGTGGGCTGAAGTCTTGTTCTTTGATCCTCAGCCCTCAGAGATCTCCTGCTCAAGAGCATTTGCAGTTAGATTTAAGACTCCCTAAAACAAAATATTAAGAAATGTAGGTTCATTGGTTGCAAAGATGATGCAATATTTACCTGGTCCTTGCACAAAGATATTTTTGTAATTGCTTAGTTTTTAGAGTTTCAAGATCCTGAGACGTTCAATTCTGGCAAATAGTTGACAAATTATTAAACTTAAAGTGAGGCTGCAGCATAAATCTTACACAGCTGACAGCAGTGAATGTGTTGCTGCACTTGGACATCCTGTGCAGCAGTTGCATTCTTTCTTTTTTCCCCACATTGTTTCCTAAACCTTCCTTGTCCAACTTATGATCTGTGTATTTGTCATAATTTAAATAAGGATAAATGCCTCTCAGTTAGGTTATTAGCTGATAACATATATTAATAATTCTGTTGCAAATTGGTCTTTGTTGTCACTGCATTATGCTACCTGCTATAATGGCACGTATTTGTCTGGTAGCTTATGCAATGACTGAGAACTGTGTTTATTGGCACAGATGGTCCATGCCAGGTGCTCATCCTCCATTGCAAAGGTCTGTGGTGCTGTGGTTGTCCTGTGTGGTGGTGCCCCTTCCTGATCCTGTCATGCCACTTGCTTTTGGAGGAGTCTATTTCTCTTAGATGAAATTACAGAAAATATTTGCCCTTGCACAGCTTTGCCTGTGTTCCTGCTGGAGCAAAGGGAGGGTGCAGGCAGGGTGTGTGAATGACCAAGTTCCACATGGCAGTGGGCTCAGACAGGTGGAGGTGCTGAACTGTGGCAGTGAGGTGGGCACAGATGCCCATTTCAGCTCTTTGTGTTTGGCACCAGCTCCTCATCGTGCTGATAGGTCATTTTAGCTTAGTATTAAAGCAGAAAAAGATCAATCAGAAACATCAACTAAAGAAGAAATTTATTGTTGCAGATTTCCTGTCTTTAAGGGACAGTGACCTTGTTTGATTCAGTATTAGCTTTTAGATTGTTTGTGATGCTTTTCTTTCCCCCCCTCAGCCTACTATTCTTAAACTGCGGGTTATTTTAAGCTTACTGCTTTTAAATTGCAGAGCATTTAAGACATTGTAGGCATATAGAATTAAGCTTGGACAGCATTGAAGGTCACACTATAGAGAACTAAATTATAATGACAGCTGGATAGTCTGCATGATAGTCTTTTTATCTAGCTCATGTATCTGATTCTGGTCTTACTAACCAGTGTTTATTCTTTCCTACGCTGGTAATTATACTTCAATACTTCAGCAGTGACATTTTAAACCTATTTTTGTTGCAAAAATTTTTGTTTGAGCAAACATCAGATTTATTTGGTTACTCTCATTTAGTCAAGTTTAAATGTGTTTCACTCACCATAAATTTTCCTTGAAATTAAGCTTTTCTGTTGCTTTGTTTTGTAATGCTGTAATGATCATTGACATGGTGATAGATGAACAAAAACACTGGAGGCATAGTCTTCATTTATTACATCAAGTTTGGGAAAAGATGGATCTGGACCACAATGCAACTGATCCTAGTGTTGCAATTGGTTTAGATTAATTGTAGCTTTAAAGACTTCTGACACTGTAGTAGCTTGTTAAAACAAAGTGCTGTGCAGTTCCTCATAGGCTTGGAGCACAGGGGTTGGCAGTGGGTCTCTGATTTTCCTGGGCTTTTTGTGCAACAGACCCCTGTGTCCTCCTGCTCTGTATAAATAGAATGACGGCTGATGAGAATCATGCAAGCTGTTGCTTCGCTCTCCTTGCTGGTAGTGTATCACATGGAATTGTGTCCACTCCCAGTGACCTGAACTGTGGCTCCAATGATAATAATGGTTACGTTTTCCATCACAAAGTTCTTGAGCATATTTTGATTTGTTAGTATATATTAATTATTTCATAAGCTAGTTTCAAAGTCTAATTAAAATCTAAATTTTAGAATTGGCTCCATGTCTGTAAATAGCACCTGCAATTGTTCAAGAATTATTTGAAGAGCAAGGCAATTGATATTCCAAACAATTGTTTTGTAAAGGCTGTAATCTAGATCCACTGAGAAATCTGTAGAGAAAAAGCAGCAGCTAGACTCCCTGCTGCTTCTTTTATAAAAATTAAAGACAAACCAGAAAATGACAGCACATAATTATAAAGAAATAGATCCATTTGTTAACACTTCTATGGTGAAATTTTGTTATTGGCACTAATAACAACATAAACATTTGCATTCAGCTGAAAGCAGGCAGTGATATTCACAATGCGGTCAAAAATGTCCCTGTAGAGTTGTCAATGAGAGGAGCATTGCTTTGAATAAAACCTATCAGGCTATTGAGGAATGTTATGCTGCAATGGTGTACTTCATTCCCCCCCCCTTTTTTTTTCTTAAGGCCTATTCCTCTCTAAAATATTTTCCAGTATTAAATTCTTCTATGGAACTGGAAGCTATCTTCCAAACATATTTTCTAATCTGTATTTTTAAGCTGCCTTTTCAAGTATATAAAGGTACATGCTACAATTTATTTACTGATTATCCCTAAAACTTTGAGTAGGCTCTTTGAATGGAAGTAGAATAAATTCACTAAAGCATCTGCAAAATGAGAAATGTTTAGTAAGCGGCTGGCTACTAATAAATCCAAGGCAAAAAAAAACAGAAATGAAATAAGGTATTGGTATAAAAAAGAGGTGTAAGAAGCATCAGTACAATGCAGTAGCTTGATAAATCTGGTTTGAAATTAAAAAAAAAAAGGGAAGACAGTATTCCTGCTCCTGAGAAGCAGAACTATAGGTGGGCTCTGTGGGTCTGGGGTGGTACATGAGTTTCCCATAGCAGGTCCACCTCCCAGCCTCCAAAAAGAGCTGGTGTGAAGAGCTGAGAGATGGGATATCCCTTCATAGCAAAGAACATTGCATTGTGAATGCCAAGTGTTGATAACTCTGTATGTGCACCTATTTTTTTATAGTATGGGATTCCTTCTACTGAAGATCTTGCAACTCTGGAAATATTACACAGGCTTTGCAGTAGAAACTGTCATATGCCAGAAATTCAGCTGAATGCTTCTTGGATTTCTCTGTCTGAACACCATGGAGATGATGTCTGTCACAATTGTACAGCTGCTGCAAGTGGTGATTTTCTAATCAGATGAAGCATAAGAAAACTAATTCCTTGTTACGTACCTTTAAGCTACTGCATTTAACTTCTTTTCATTACCATGTAATTATCTTTTCATTCTATAGATGGTGTGATAATTTCCAAAGCTGTTTGTGACTGAAAATTAAATGAAGTTGTGACATACCTTTAACAGTCTTACTTCAGTGACCTAAACTACTTACCTCTGGTAAATATTCACGACAATAAAAGCTGCCTGTGCAATGCCCAGTCACACAAGTTATCCAAAACAGCTGTGACAGACACACTGTACTTTAGGCCTGATAAGAGCTAGTGGCTGTGAATCTTTTTTCTAGTTGTGATGATGTCTTTTTTCTCTCTATACTGTAGTTGCATTTGTGATTCTTGTAGCTGTTGTAGAGAGCAAAAGGTGAAGTTGTATTCTAGGCTTGTTGTTTTCAGTAATCTTTAAGAAGGGGATAGGGAAACTAGCATTTTGGTGTCAGAAGAGCATTTGTTCATTTGAAGGAGATCTGAACAAACACAAAAGGATCTAGCATAGTAGAAGGAACCAGAAGAGCAGATAAATGTGGGAAAAAAAGGCAGTTTTCATAGTGTCTGAGAGGTGTTTGAATTCTGTAAAAATGGTGTGTTATTAAATATATTGTTTGATAAAAGAATTATAAACAACTATACATATGTTACAACCATGCAGAAGTATTGTGTGGTAAATAGTGCTCATCAAGGCTAGTAAAAACTGTTAAAATAATTTAGGACTACTGAGTCTGCAAGCAGTGTGTTACACAGACCACTGATTTGCTTTATAGTAAGCCAACTATTAGGAAATTAATAATATTTTAATAACTGGTATGAAATTAATGTAAAATACATCTGAGACTCATCATGCTGGTGTAAAATAAGATTTATTTTAGTTGTCAGACATTTTCTTTCTTCCTACTCCCAAATGTTGAGAAGGATATTTTAATAGAGAGAAGAGATTTTAAGCTTGCATACTTGGCTCTTTTTGTAGTAATTATTATGGGTAGGTTTAGTACCTTTGTAGGCTCCATCAGTTGTCCTAAAGTGTTATGAAAAAATCATGTTTCTTGTTTGAGGAAAAAAACAAGGAAAGAGAGAAGGTGTATCAGTGTATGGGTAGGTAAGTCAAGAACAGCTAACAGCCAAAGGGCAGTAACTCAACCAGAAATGGATATTGTAGTTCTCAGACAGCAATTGCCTTGGCAGTTATTTCCCCTAGGAATGGGATAAAAACACTTCCAAAATACAGACACTTGCCTATATGTGCTTCTAACCAGTTTGTGTTCTCCCAGCCTACTTAATTGTGAATAAAACCCAAGTTAAAAGATTAACCTGCTTTACCTTAACCCACCTCTTTAGAGACATGCACATCAAGGGTTCTTTTCCTCTCCTTAGAAGTGTTTCCCACTGCCCTGAGTCCATTTCTTTGTTTGCTGCCCAACATGCACAGCCTATGTGGTGAAGAATGTATCATGGCTGGGGCAATGGGCTGGAAATCCAGTATAAATGAGATGTGGGGTGGGGTGGGGGGTGGGAGGGATGGGGAAGCCAGACGAGCAGCAGCCTCTGTGGGGCTCAGAGTGGTCCCTGCTGGGAGTGTGGTGTTGGTGTGCTCCAGTTTCTTGTGCTGCCTTCAATGGAAACTGACACAACCTGTAAGGGAATGGAGATTTAGCAAATCTCAGTATCTGCTCAAGTGCTGGTCTCTGTGTCTGCTTTTATTATTGATTGGCCAGTGGAGAAGGCTACTGTAGAGAAATATGGCTGTGAGATGACAAGAGATGAAGTATTTTTCAGTTAGAAGTGACCTCGTAATTCCCAAATGGCGGTGTGAAGTGGTACTCCAAATGAATTATGTGGGGCCATCCTAATGAGTAGGAGTTGTTTTGGATCAAGTTCTAGCCACTACAGAATTTCTAGCCTTATGAGCAATGTCTTTCCTATTGCAATTCACCATACAAAGACAAAATTGAGAAAGCTTTGGAGCTTAATTTATTTGTCTGTCAGGTGATAATGATGTTTAGCAAATGGGGTTGGTTACAACCATGGCATTCAAATGTTTAGGCAATGTTCAAGACCATGCACGTTTTGTCCTTGCTGTAACTTTAGATCATAACAGGCTCTAAAACATATGTTCATTTCTTGCAGATAAGGCTTGGGGTTTTATGTACATCCATGTTTGCTCCTGGTTTTTTTATTTCCATTTTCATAGACTGATTCAGCCAATAAGAGACATGCACAAATAATTGTCGAGAAATGAGTAAGGTTTTTAGCCAAAAGATTGCTTAGCTGGTGTTTAGCTTCTGCAAGAGACCTTAAGTGCTGTTTATATACAAGTCACAAGACTAGTGGACATAAAATATAAAAAATATTAGTGAGAATTTACTCAAATAATGCCTTTTTTTTTTTTATTCTACAGAGAGGTCTGTGAAGAATACAACACTTACTGTTCTGTCAGGTCTCTGCAACATGATTCTTACACTGAGATGGATGTAAGTACCTTGAAACTGCTTATGTAAAAGAAGTACTTTCATAAAATCTGTCCTTTATTACAGTTCTCTTCATCATGGTGACATAAGGAGGCTATGTTACCTGTCACTTTTATTAACTCACACAGCTAGTCAGTTTAAATGATGCTCAAAATTTCTCCTTCAAAAGGTTGGAGGAATGAAAAGGTTAAATCTAATTTTAAATGTCACTTTCTAGCAAGATACTTCCACCATGTAAAGGAAACATCAAGTAAGCAAAACTTGCTTAATTTGAAGCTTGTAGTGGACCCTGACATGACTATTTCAAGTCACTCCATGTAGACTGGAAGAACTGCTGTAATTTCCAAGCAAAATTTTACTTTTACCAGACATGTACCAAGAGATGCAGTGTAAAACAAAACTGATTTGCAAGTATACCTTTCCCTCCTGATAAAGACAATGAAAGCTTTTTTGAAATTTAGTCTAGAAATATGCAATGTTTTATTTGAAATTATTTACTGCCTAGGATAAATTCATGGGATCCACACTTTTTTCACAAAAACCTCAATATAGAGAGCTAGGGGAGCACGGACATTGTTTATATAGATGAGAGATCAAACTGCTTTCAGGCATTCCCAATACCATTGATAGCTGGAAAAAAATGACAAAGGCTGTACAACTTTTGACCCTGTCTATGGGGTTTTTTGATCATGGTGAAAAGGTAAATAAAATGATTAATTCTACGTCCTAAAGCTAAGTGTTATGGTCCTGTTGAATACCTTATACTTCATTGGTGGCTCTTGAGTATTTGAGATATGCCAATAGAGATACAGGTCCTCAGTCCAGATTTTTCTGGAACAGAAATATGTCTAGTAGCTTTTCTGCTTGATAAGGTCTTGATGTTGTGTTGCTTTCCATGATTACTTTAACTAAAAACTCTCTAAAATTAGTCTGTTCAGAGAATTTGTTTGTATCTGACACCTAGTTTGGTTGGCAAACACCTCTGGGAGCACCTGTATGCCCCTTGATAGGTTAGTGAAAGGTTGCACTTGGATAGTAGTAGAGAATTGGGTTTTTAGCTATTTTAGATTTGACAACTTAAAATAGGCTAAGAGGTTTCAACTTGAATAAAGTCGTGCAGAAGGTATGTGAGATTTATCGGGAACTGCAAAGCAGACAAACCATACTGGACTGCCCAAACATACTTCATGTTGTAAGTAGTACCACAAAAAATGAGGAGTCTGAAGAATCATCAGTTTAACCCCTTTTATGTTTATTTAGAGCATTTTTTAAGGTGTTAAATGTCTCTGAAGGTGCATAAGAGTTTAGGTCTGGGGGCCCTAGGGGGACATTGCTGGCTGCCCTGGGCAGAGCTGGGAGCTCTGTGCTATGGTTGGGCTGGCTGGCCAAATTCCATATTTAGCTGGGCTGGGCCTAGGTTACTGCATCAATGATCACCTGCAACTTTCTTAACCCCTGTGACTGATGTGACCCTGACTGTCACTGCTTGAGGATGTGCCTTAGATTGTCCTTTCATGGCCCTGAATATTATTTTACTATCTGAATTTAACTAGGCTATACTGGCATTTATATGTATTATTTGTTCTGAAGAAATGCTGAGGGGAAAAATATAGGTGTGTAGAAATATACCTTGAATTTATGATATACATTTGCATTCTCTGCAGGGGTAAGATTATCTTGCTGTAATTACATAGTTCATCAACTGGCCACTGCTCATGGGGCTTGCCTCACCTACTGCTGAATGTGGGGACCTGCACATTAATTTTAACTCTGATTATGATTGGCTGTAGTGTTCCCTGTTGTCACTGCAGCCGTGGAGATCAGGCCTGATGATATGCCACAAAATCAGTGACAGTTTGCATACAGACATGGTTTACTCAGGTCTCAGCACTGCCATTCTCAGAAGATGAGGAGGTATTGAACTGTCAAACTGAGACTGAGCAGGTGACAGCAGATGCATTTTATATCAGCTGCCTTCATGACTGATTTAGTAAACCTAACTGAGAGCAAGCAGGCTTTTTCTCCTTCAATATTATACTCTTTAGAAAAATAAGATGAAAATGAAACTGTGAAAATGTGGGGTTTTTTTTTCATTTTTAAAAATTACCCTTTATTCCTTCTATTCACTTTGAAACCTTTTAGTGTAAAAATGATAAGGATGCAAGATCTGGGAGGATTTTTTCTGTGGAATGAATTGAGGTAGAGAAGTATTTTTATCCTTCCCACAGCTCTGTGGCAATTTAACATCTGACTCTCAGTCAATCACTCTACCTGCTGTCTTCTATATATCATACAACTTCTTTAAATAGGTAATGCTGAAAATAACACAGACAAGCAACAACATGTGGAAGCATGCAGTAAATTTAAAATGTGTTTCCTTCTCTTGCCTGAGTTGCTTCCTAATTTGATAGCATTGATTAAAAAATGAAGGTAATTCATAGTGCAGTGAGTTAGCCTAGGATGAAGCCATTTCACAAGACACAGCAAGCTTCTAGTAGGCAATGAACACAATGGTGAGGCAGAGCAAGTGGCATTGTCATTGCATGTTGGTGCTCAGAGAGCTGATTGCTCTGCCACATAAGAATTAAATATTCTTGTGTATGCAGAGAGATGTTTTCAGTCATTTCTCTTTGATACCACTAAAATTTGAAGGGCCTTACAGGGGTCTTAAGTGGAAAGCTCTTTCCTGTCCATTACTCCATTACAGAATGTCCTTTTGGCAGAAAAACTGGGTAGTCACAGAAGAGGGAAAGAAATTTGGTAGATGTCATTTTGTTGGCAGTATCCAGTTGCTCAGAGCATTTTTTGTCTCTCGTGTCTACTCATATGCAAAAGTAAAGAATGTGGGAAGGGATCTCTTCTCTACATCTCTCCTTTTCTCTCTTTTTGACTGAAATATTCCCCTCAGAAAAGCTCTGCTGTTGCTTCCTGTGGTCTTGGGAATGCTTCTTTGTCTGATTTGACTAGCAGGGAATACAGTGCATAATATATACCTTGGGTTCAGAAGAAAAAAGATTTTTATGTCAAAAGAATTTCCTGCAGTTTTTCTTGAACACTTAAAAATATAAAGATGAGATGCTAATATGAAGAGTGTGAGGTATATTTCCAAGTTGATAGTACATTACATAGATTTGTTTTCTGTGTGCTGTGTTGTTTTTGAGAAATTGCATTAGGTTTTTTTTCAATCTGTTAAATACTGGAAAATTGGATCACTGGAGCAGTGAGTAAACTTTGTGCGTATAATGGCCAGAGATGTCCAAAATCTTCTGCATTTCTTTTATTTCCCCCCAAAATAGCAAGCTTCAAATGAAAGTACTTATGCAGAAGTCACATAAATAATATTCTTCCTCCATCATCAGTGCAGCTGGGAATGCATTATTTCTGGTGATGACTGACGTGCTCTCTCACCTCTTTGTCCTCTCCTCATGAAAATGCCTTGCGGCTGCCGAGGAGCGCGGTGTCGGACAAAGCGCAGAGTCCTGGGCTGTGCCTTTGGGAGGGCTGAGCGGGGCAAGGGCCGCCAAGGAGAGGAGCAGAGATGTGTTGGAGCACGTATGCCAGTCACTAGAAGAAAGGTGATGGCCCAGGGAGGTGACAGTGCCAAATCACTGTGTGGCTTAGTCCCAGATAGCCCAGTTCTCTAGTGGCTGTTGTTACTCTTTCTTGGTGTATTAAAAAGGATACTTGGGAGGAGTGGTTGCAAATTGCTTTAGAAATCAGACATATATATATATGTATATATGTATATATACATATATATATAATTAGTAATTAAAACAGCCTTTAAAAAGTAATAAACCACTAAATACTTCACAATTTCACTATTTCCAGGTAAGTGTGTGCAGGGGGAAAGAGAAGCATTTGTTGAATCTCTGTAATGTCTGCATGTTAGAGAGATGCCTTACAGTTCTTGCTGCAGGCTGACTTCCCTATATGCTCAAAATTCACTTCAATATTTATTGCAATTTAAGGTTCTATTATTGAGTATAATGATGCAAAACAGCATTCCAGCAGAATGTTTGCTCCACAGACTCTGTGCTACCAGTCCTGCAATATCAAAAAAAGAGCCCTATTTGGATTATAGAGAACAATAATGTTATCAGGGGGATACTTGTGAATTGCATGCTATCAACCTCTTTGATATTTATTTCAACTATATAAGTAATTTGTAGATTCTGATTCTTTATAGTCTTCTTGATTTTCATTTAAATTATTCCAAATTATTCTATTTTTATTTGTCGGCAAAGTATCTTTCCCTGTCTCTAATGGATTTATTAAAATCCATACTTCAGGCTGCTGTCCCTATACACTGGTCCCCAAATGCTGCTTTACTGTCAGTGCCATTTTTGTGTGAGTTGTGGGGCCAGATACTACAGTCCTGTCACTTAAATCAGGATGACAGCCTGGCGCTGGGCTTGAGCCCTCATGGCTTGTCATGATTCAGCATTCCTACCATCAAGGGAAGGAGATAAACACAGCAGTGAAGTGGGCAGAGGGTGCCTAAATGAGAGTTGTTAACGAGGGGAAGGCATTTTTCATTTTAATGGTGCAATAGCACTTTTCCCCCCAATTCACTTTCTTCTTTTACCTCTGTGTATATTTTATTACACAGAAATACACACTTGGGGTTCAGTTACCTGGAGAGGAGTAGTGCACACCTGGGCTGTAAGTACTTTGTTTCCAGCAACAGACAGAGGCAGAGATTTATCGAGGGTGTGAGGCTCAGGGGGCATGAAATAGTGGGGTGAGCTTCCCCTCTTGATGCATTAATTAGTATAACAATTACAATTAGAGAGAATGGCCTGCTGAGCCCTTGCTGGGGGCATCAACAGTCCTGAAAGAGAGAAAACAGTGATTTCAGCTTCTCTCATGTTATTTCTCTTTCTAGACAAAAGCAGCAAGAGAGTGCAAACCCAAAGGTATGCTGAGGGATGTAGTAACCCCATCAGATCAAGGTGTTTCCCTGGCGCTTCTCCCCAGCCCAAGTCCTTTGGTGCGCTGTT